ACATTGTAACATTTGAGATCTTGCGGCACAGGCCCTCATAAATGTGTCATTTACATATTGTAAGACAGCAGTCGTCAGGTTCCTGGTCTGGGTATTGCTACGGTATGTAAGCGGAGCGTGCTCTTTGTCTATTTCGTTTTATAAATAGTTTGGAAGCAGTATTTAATATTTAGCTTTAGGAATGGAAGCTGTTTTGTTGTAAAGTTTTTCACAGTTTGAAATTAGCCATAAAGCTAAATGTGAGAAGAATGGAGCGGTAACCCAATCACAGGTAATCTGGCTACATTTACAAATTAAACTCCAATTGAAAATGGTCAAGTTTAAATGGTAAAGTTTTTTGTGCTGTTACTTGAACATAACAGTATTATTGGATATGTCTTCTGGAAGATGCCATTTTATGTAATATAACTTATCCTTTGTATTCTTTTGCAGGTAACAAAGTATGTTCATGGTATTACCAAGGATTCAGTAAGAGTTTTAGTATATACACCAGCTGTATGTACCGGGCCGTCGCGATAACAGTAATATCGGGATATCGCGCAGTCAACCTCGGGGATAGCAAGTGACTGCCACAGCCGCTGTCTTCACGTTTCTTCCCCTTTTTCCATGAGACTAGGCCCTTCTTGTTTTACACATCAGTGCGTGTGTATTGAATGTTAAATAAATTCATAGAGAAAATGAGAATGTAATTTATCCTGCAAACTGTTGGTTTGGCTTGCTGGTGACTTTCAGCTCCCACATAAGCTGGCGGACCCCGAAGTTGGTCATGAACCGTAAAAAATCATAAACCATTATTATTTTGAAATTAAAAAGAAAAAGTCATCCAAAATGAAATTATAAAAACAAAAGGTTCTCTTCATATTTTTTTTTGTCATTTTGTGATCATTATTCCATTAAAAATAAATATTTCTAATTTTTCCACATGGATGGCAGTCAAAATTAGCACTTCCTGTTTGTTTACATGAATAACAACACACCCACTGCTCAAAGCGTGCCGACATCGGTGTGTACCGTGCTAAGGGTCCAAGGATCGATATCCATCATGGTCTTTTATTCAAAAAACAAGCTTTCAGTTGAAGTTGTGTATCATGTGTACACGTGTATAAGATTACATGTTTGCATCCATGGGTAAATGCATATGATATCATGGATGCTGCCTAACTGTGGGGGAAAAAATGGCAATAATCGCACTGTGGGGTTCCAGTAAGTCACTGCAGGGGAAATTCTTTCATTTTGACAGCCCTAATATACACTGTATATACATGGGCATAAATGCTGCATAAGTTTACACGTGAGCTAAATGCAGAGCTGCTTGCATAGGAAATCCAGAAAACTTAGTTTTGCAGTGTGACGAGTTGGTTTCATTCAGTTTTTAGATGATACAGACTGAGACGAGTAGTTCTGCTGTTTTCCAAAGTAAGACATCCTGCCAAATTAGATTTAATAACCATATGTTTTCAGCAGAGAGCACAAGGCATAACCTACAGTGTGCCTATGACAAGGCAGCCGGCCGCTTTTGACGGCATGTTTTTGACGCGCTTAACTGGATTTCACATACCGTTAAAGTTCATCATGACACCAAGCAGGGTGGCTGGCTCTCTCCCCCTTTCTCAGTTTAAGCCCCTTATCTTGCAGTCATAGCCTCAGGAGATGCTAAGCGTATAGCGTAGAGATTACAGAATCACTTCACTCAGATAAGACGCATTAGTAGTAGACCTCAGAGCCAGTCAGGGACTCGTCTGATTGTATGAGATTACGTTATGAAACAATCTTTATTACCATCCATCCATCCATTCTCCATAGCTGCTTGTCTTGTGCAGGGGGGGGGGGAGCTTATCCCAGATGGTAGGACACATGGTCGGGAACAAACCAGGACAGGATGCCAACCCATCACCGGGCACAGACGCCCGCACACACCTATAGACAATTTGACCACTATCCCCACCTTGATTTGGCTAATCAATACCTCATTGAGTTATTTAACAAATTTAATTAATCGAATGAGTGATTGAGCTGATGGTCACGTTTAAAAAGCCACATGGAACGGCTGAGGTGCTCCTGAGGAGAGTTTTGGGAACCAAAGTCATGTTCATCTAGTTCTAATTCTAAATGTTTTTGTTTCGCACAAATATACACTTACTACCCAGATAAATCACTTTAAATATTTTTTTTACCTAAGACTTGTATGTAAATATATTAAGAACATAAGAAATTTACAAATGAGAGGAGGCCATTCGGCCCATCAAGCTCGTTTGGGGAGAACTTAACTAATAGCTCAGAGTTGTTAAAATCTTATCTAGCTCTGATTTAAAGGAACCCAGGGTTTTAGCTTGTGCTACACTAGCAGGAAGACTATTCTATACTCTAACTACACGCTGTGTAAAGAAGTGCTTTCTCAAATTCAGTTTAAAATGTTCTCCCTCTAATTTCCACCTATGGCCACCAGCGGATGCCAACAGACTCAACAAACTGATTCGCAAGGCCAGTAACATTGTGGATGGAGCTGGACTCTCTTAAGGTGGTATAGGAGAGGCGGATGTTGTCCAAGCTCAGCACAATGCTGGACTCTCTTAAGGTGGTATAGGAGAGGCGGATGTTGTCCAAGCTCAGCACAATGCTGGACAATTTCTCCCACCCACTCCATGACGTGCTGGCCAGTCACAGGAGCTCGTTCAGTGAGAGGCTAAGACCCAAATGCTCCACTGAACGACACAGGAAATCATTCCTGCCTGTGGCTCTCTCTCTGTACAACACCTCCACATAAGCACAAGAATCACACTACACTGCAAGTATACACCTCAATTCAACCCCATGTGTAGTTAATTTCTGTAATATTAGAATATTGTTTGTGTATTGTTATATTTGTGTATTTGTTACTGGTATTTAACTTAAATTTAAATATTTTTGTACTGTCCGGGACCAACTGTATCCACATAATTTCCTCAGGGATCAATAAAGTAATCTGAATATAAATCCGAATCTGAATCTGAATCTGAATCTGAAATTAGCGGGAGAACATTTTAAATTGAATTTGAGAAAGCACTTCTTTACACAGCGTGTAGTTAGTATGGAGTAGCCTTCCTGTTCAGGTAGTGCAGACTATTCTGATGATGCTGCTGCCAAGTAAATTAGTGGTAGTGTGAGTGAAATGTAGTGAAAGAGACGCTGTTGTGATTTGTTCAGTGCTGCTGTGCCCACCTGGTCAGGAGCAGAGCCAAACATCACAGTGTGCTTAAGTATCTCCACAAAATGTACTCATCTGGCAAGATGTATAGGAGAGCTGTCCAGGAACCATTCCAGCGTGTTCGTAATAAACTTCTGCAATTCAGGTTTTGTAAAACAAGCTGTGTTGTGTAGCAGAGAAAAAAATTTGAAAAAGAACATGCAGTAATGAGATCTATGCACAGAGGACCAGTACCACGTATGTTGATGGAAATGCATTAGTGCCAAAATTAGGAAGATGCCTTTTAATCAATTAAAATACCTAATTTTCTTTGTCCTTTGTGCTTTCCAGATATTATCAAATTATTTCAGAAAAAAAAGTTCTGTAGTAACATTTCACCAAGGCATCGGCTCCCAATATAACTGGATGAAGCCGTCTGTGTATTTTAACTAGGAAACGAAATGCAAGTCAGCTTGACATGCATACAGATATGAGAGGCATGTTTTTGGGCAAATAAGGAGCTGAGGAATGACCCCCTACATTGAGAGCCTCTGTCTGGTGTTGCTGCAGCTGATGTTAATGATGCGTTCATTCTTTCTGTGTGTGTTTTGTATGATGGCTTTGCATGCCAGTGTATGGTTCAGTTTGTTAGGATGCTCTGCCTGTCCTCATGAGGTTGTCGGTTTGAATCCCAGGGTCGGCAAAGTGATGTCACTTTTGGACTCTTAAGCAAGTCCTTTGACCTCAGTTGCTCCAGGGATTTTCTGACCCGCTTTGCTTACAGCAGAATATTCACATATGCACAGATGTGGATGTTTTTCCAGTGTCAGAGAGTTTGTAGAATGAGGCTGACAACTGACAGTATCTGTCTGGACTTCACACGGTGATTCAAACAGCAATTTCATCTCTTAATGCAGGTCCTTTGCTGTCCAGGATGTTTCTTTACACTTTGGAATGACTCATAGCAGATGACTTGCTGAGTTTTTCTGATTGCTTAAGATGCCCAGCTGGACGTCTCCTGGGGGGGGGGGCTCTCCATGCCCGTAGATGGGCAGCGTGACTGAATCACCATCTTTGACGGTTACTCCAACTTTTATGTTTGTTCTGGGGTGTTTAATCAAGCTTGCATGGTCTCTTAGCTGGTATGAAAATGTTCTCAGCATATTCTCTATCGAGTTCTATATTTTCTCTCAAAAAAATGTCCAGTGCATTATGTCTGCATTTGCTCATGGAGTCTATTGATTTCCACTGTTTGTTTTAATCCCTTTTTTAAAGTCAGCTGTCACCCATGTAACTTAATCAGCCCCAATTCTCTTCCTCCAGAAGGGATTTTGAAAGACATTATCAATTTCCTTTGAAGGTGGATAGGGAATAAGGCTCAAAGTGCTGACCAGATCGCTGCGAAGTGTGTGTGTGTGTGTGTGTGTGTGTGTGTGTGGTGTTGTCGCTTTGAGGATGCTCATACAGAGAGATCCATTCTGCAGATTCTGTGAAATGATTTACAGACAGAGTAGATGTGTGGTCATCAAAGGGAAAGATTCCTTGTGGAAATTTAATATCAATACGAGTTATAATCCCCTGCTGGCTGAGGTCGTAATCCACTGCTGGTTCTTTTTTCTTCTTTCTCAAATTTTGTATGAAACAGGAAAAAGCTTGTCTGTCATGTTCTTTCATTTAAGAGTGCTGGCTGTATAAATGGTCTAGAATTAATTTTACATTTTATGTAAAATCCAAAGTATGATGCCTCAGTGGAAGCTTGAGTGAATTTAGGTATCATTTGTATGTGAAAACTTTAACATTTTTTGTCTGAAAATGTAGGTGACACTTGTTACTTCTGTATTTTGAAGATTACTGCTCATTCCTGAAGATCACGGACCCGTCCAACGTGAAGGTCAGCTGCACTGTATTCCAGGAGGAGCTGCATAACCATCCACAAGTTTTCCGAACTGGAGATATTGTTCGCCTCCACCGTGTGAAGGCAATGCCCTCTTCTGTACACGCTTCTCTGCATGTGTTGCTATCACACATCTTCTGCTTCATGAACTGCTGGGTTCACTTTTGGGGGGAGTGTATCTCAAGTGTTTCATTGGGAAGACTTGGCCACATTAGCTGCTTGATGAGTCAGTTATTCTAATTTGTTAAAATAGCTATAATCGTGTAGTTTTGTATTATATATGTATGTTATATATGTACTTTCCGCCTCTTCTGCTTAAATGATGCATTTCTAAAGAGAAACATCTTAGGTTGCCCATTGTTGATGCCCTTCAGATAGATCCTTGTGGTCCTCCTGGTTTTGGGAGGGCTGGCTGTAGTTTCTGCCCCGAGGGAATCTCACGCCTCCACCGAGAATTTGGGCCGATTACCCTTCCCTGGCCTTCTCTTCAGGCTCAGGCTTTCCGGGGCTCCATTATCGTGACGACGACCCACTGCTTCTCCACCGTGGTGTTCGATGGCACCGTGGGCAGCCCAGTGGTTCCCCGCACTTCCAGCAGGAAGCTCCACTTCACGGCGGAGGACGAGCAGACGGTGGAGCGTCTGCGCAGATGGGCCTTGGAGCAGACTGCGCTGCTGGGTGCCGCCACTGTGAGGCTCGCCAACGTGGAGCCGCGGATGTACTTCGACTTCACGTGCCAGCTGCTGGCCAAGGCTGAGATGGACAGAAACTGCACGCTGTTGAAGGTTTGAGAGCACAGCATCACTCTGGGAGGGCATAAGAAGGGCCATAATTCATACAGAGGGGCTAACCTTATCACTAGCCAATGATATGTTTTGAATTGTTGAATGACAAGGGAGGGGGTACTCTGGTGGCCAATCAGCTTTCAGCTCCGGTCAGTACCCTTGTGCCTCCGCCCTCATTTTTGCCCCTACTGCTGTCCGCTCTGAGTTCTTTTAACATCAGTTGGATTGCATGTGTGCACATGATGTGCTCGCTCTTACGTGCCTGCCTGTGTGTAGTTACACAGCACACACTGCAGGGGGGGCTGTTAGCCTCGCATTTACGTGATGCTGTAACATTTAGAGGGTTCAAACGCACTCAGTGTCAGCACATGGCTGCCTCCCTCTCCGCTGTGCTGTAGGCCTCTGTGCCTGTGTTTAGAAGGTCATTGGTTTGAATCCCGCCCTCAGCAGCATAGTAGCATCACCACTGGGCCCTTTCGCAAAGCCTTTAACTCCCTCGTCCCGGAAATGTTCTAAGGGTGCCAGAAAAATCACTGACCTTGTGCTTGGACCCCAGGCTTTGCTCTCAACTGCATTTATATTATTTTGTGTGTGTGTGTGTGTCAAAGGAGGGCATGATGGGATATGTGCAAAGCAGCATATCACTTTATCGAGGGAGTGGGCGTTTTAAGCCTGTGGGGTTGCTGGTTTCTCCAGGTCTGGGATGGGACCGAGTGCCCCCACCCCCTGCTGGATGTGTCTGTGGAGCCTGAGGCCCAGCAGGGAAGCATGGCCGTCCCCGAATGCAGGAGGAACCTTGTGGCCAGCGTTCTGGTGTATGACGACCACGTCAAGATGACCCAGGATTTAAAGGTGAGAGGTCACAGATCACAGTTACTGCAGCAATGTAAGGTGATGTCAATGCAGGGCACTTTTTATCATTTAGTTTAACAAGTCAGGGTTGATAGTTTGATAAATCATTGTTAGCCGGTTGTTCTCCAGCAACTTGGCTGTGCAGGTCTGTCTTTTTCGATGTTTGTCTCATGCATATTGAAGGGTGTGTTATGCATCTCTGTGCTTCGACGCCTCGTGAAGGGTGTGTTATGCATCTCTGTGCTTCGACACCTAGTGAAGGGTGTGTTATGCATCTCTGTGCTTCGACACCTAGTGAAGGGTGTGTTATGCATCTCTGTGCTTCGACGCCTAGTGAAGGGTGTGTTATGCATCTCTGTGCTTCGACGCCTAGTGAGGACGTTATGGCCGACTGTCCTGTCTGCGTATTGGCTCATGTGGGGAGGAAGAGGCATGCTTGTTTCTGGGTGTTTTCAGTGGTGGGTGGGGGGCATTTAGGAAATCAGCGTTGTGATCCTCTGTGTAACCCCCCCTCCCCAAAGCAGCCCTTTGTTTTCAGAAGCTATTGACTTCATATCCGATATACTGTATCTTGTACTTCATTCATTTTCTCTCTCTCTCTCTCCCTCCATTCTTGCTAGTTCATTCTTCCCCAAAAACACTAATGATTTCCTCTCTTTCATAGTCCCGTGGGCAAATTTAATTTTTCCCTACAGACAATAATTGTCTAAATTTTTTTTAAGAAAGTTCCTATTTGCATAATGGTCTTTTGTTTCGCTTTAACTCATATTCTCCTTCCCTCCCTTCTTTCCCAGCTCTCTCCCTCTCCTGTCTTCCTTTTTATTTATCGAATCGTGCCATTGAAGAGCGGAGATGAATATCTGGCTCTGGCTCATTCTGAGGTTTTATGATGTGACGGCAGAGGAGCCCAGGCTGTGTCCAGGGCTCCCCTCTGTTAGGTGAGCGTGGGGGGGGGGCACGTGGCCGTGAGTGCGTTCCTCAGGGGGGCCCCGCGTGGCCGACCAGCACCCCTCGGGGGATCGCACAGTAGTACTGGCGGGATCGTGTGCCTGTCCTCCTCTTGGGAACGTTGACTCGTGTGAGTCCTCAGCAGAGGTGGGTAATTCAGATCCATGGAGTATAAGGTTGAGTATAAAGAGTCATGGTCAAAGAGCACTCAACTGGTTGGCCTGGACATTTTCTCTCTGGACCTGAACTACCCACCTCCAGTCCTCAAGCACCGATTTCTTCATCACCACCCTCTCTCCTCGTTGTCATTCATGAGGTACGCTGAGCATGCCTCTTTTCTAAGATCCATGTCTCCCATGTTGTGTTTATCGAATATCTGGCATCAACATTGCTGAACTTCATCCAGCCTCTGGCCTGTAAATTGAGCTTTAAGGAATTTTTTTTTTCTTCCCACCACAGAGAAATACGGACAGAAGGTCCTGTTTTCTGTCATCATCCACAGTTGTTGGGTATATGACTGAATACAGTGTTTAGTAGTTAGCTGTTGAACTTCATGAAGAGGCTTGTGGAGAATTCCCAGGAAGGAATACTGGTATGTTAAACAGGTTTGGTGCCTCACACAGCTAAAGAAAGATGGATGACTGACTGGGCATAGACTCTGCAGCTGCCTGGGCTGCTCCCAAGCTATATGCTGTGTACTGCCCCCCCCCAGGTGGGACTGTGAGGAGTAGTCAGAGCGATAGTCAGGTTTGTAGGCGTGTCACCTGCCCCTCCATGCAGTCTCATCCTGCCGCACGAAGCACTCATTTCAGTGTTTTTAAAGCCTTTGTTTATTGTGTTTCGCTTTTTGTGTTAAATTGCTGCAGAGTGGAGATACCAAATGGCACGTTAAATCAGGCAGGAGGCTTCATTAGGGCAAAGTGTGTGGTGAGAGAATCTGGGAGGTTTCTTTGGGAGTGGTTATTTGGAGTTACAGTACCAGATTGCCCATAGGTGTGCATGGGTGTGTAGGTATATGTTGTGTGAGTGTGCCCTGCGATGGGTTGGGACCCCATCCTGGGCTGTCCCCCACCAAATCCTCTGGGATTGGCTCTGGACCCCCTGTCACCCTGACTGGGACAAGTGGTTTCAGAAAATGGATGGATAATTGCAGTCAAACACTTCCGTACGTCAAAATAAAAAGGTTTTATCACATTTGATTCCCACAATGTTTTTTTTTTTTATATATATACTGTATATATAAAATTATGCAGACACACACACATGCTTGGCTCATGGTACATCACTGTCGCAGTCAGCATGAGCCAGTGCAGTGCATGCTACCTGCCAGAGGAGGTCAGCACACAAATCGCAGTCAGCATGGGCCAGCGCAGTGCGTGCTAACTGCCAGAGGAGCTCAGCACACAAATCGCAATCAGCATGGGCCAGCGCAGTGCGTGCTAACTGCCAGAGGAGCTCAGCACACAAATCGCAGTCAGCATGGGCCAGCGCAGTGCGTGCTAACTGCCAGAGGAGCTCAGCACACAAATCGCAGTCAGCATGGGCCAGCGCAGTGCGTGCTAACTGCCAGAGGAGCTCAGCACACAAATCGCAGTCAGCATGGGCAAGCGCAGTG